GCTCGGGGTATGGTGGCGTGTCTTGCATTAAGCTCCAAGTGCATATGCGAATAAAGTAAAGAAATAGAATTAGAAAAGGTTCTTACTCTCAAAAGACATGAAACTTAGAAAGAGACAAGAGGGCAAAATACACTATCAACTTGCAACGACCAATTTTTATAACAAGAGAATTAAACCATACTAAGATAATTAACAGTCTTGGAACTAGAAACTAAACTTAAGCTTTTATATTTTGAAAGCTAAAGATTAAAATACTCTAAATGACATCCCTTTTAAATACGAACAAGTTGAATAATGAACATGGACCAATATTTCCCTAATTACTACATGAAAGCAGGTGTTTTGACTCTTTCGATCTATCACGCACTCATAAGACCAGTTACTCAAAACCCATGTAGGCTCATAAGAAAATGACACAATAATTTGATCCTAACAGAAGATGTTGCTTCGTATAGTGGTTTAGAGATTTTTTTTTAGATTTTAACAAAAATTCAAACACTTCTTCTCTTTAAAAAAAGCCGCAATAAGCATATTCTGCCAAATTAAGAGTGAGGAACTAACAACAAATTGACAATTCAAATGTTCATAGAATCCCTCATTGTAGGAAACTTATTCCTACGATATAGTATTAATATAAAAGACTTAAAATTCTAACCTTCATGTAATTTTCTTTCCAAACATGAAACTTACAATGATAGCCCTCCTTACACAAGTTAGATAATAGCAATTTTTAAGAGTGGAGCAACAGTAACTTTCTATTGACATGATTTCTACATTTTGTGAGCAAAACTTAAAGTTAACTCCTAAAACAGAAGTGCTATCATTTTGTTTGTTGCAAAATACTTGAAGTGAGTGAAGGATGGTAGACTAAATCTATATTCACGAGTCAAGTTAAACAGAAATTTGCCTTCGTCAAGCCAAATATTTGATAATTCCTTCGTCATTCGTTTAAAGGAAACGACATCTTACAGGCAATATTATCCAAGCAAGCAACTCTAAATCATGATCTCAAGTGAACTTTCGAAATTCCAGGTTCAGCCAAATTATAAACACAAAGATGATTTCATAACTTTACTAATATACTTTCTCTGGCACCAAATCCAAAAAGTAATAGACTTCTTAGGTTTTAGAAAAATTAAGACTTCTACAGCATACAATATTTCTCATTGTTCAATAACATAATCCAGCATAATATTATGAAGAAATCTTAATCCGTGTCTACTAGTTCACAAATAACATAAAACAATGCGCTTAAAAATACGTTAAAGGAAAACATGATAAATCCTTATTTCATAGTTTCTAGTCAAAGATCAGAAAAGAAAACTAACACTTATTTTACTAAAGAATTCAAATGTTATTTAGAGCAGATAAATGGAAAAGGGAGATCACTGACCTTTTTGCGGGCAGCAAACCGAGGCACGGATCTTAGATGTACTTTCGAACTCTGATTTCAAGCCCGCTCCTTCCTCTCGGACAAAGGAAGATTCGACTAAAATAAATAAAGATAATAGATTTTGTGCAAAGGTAAATATCCAATAGAAACAACAGGGGATTCAAAAGAATGAAGCTTTTCTGAGATGAATAATAATTAATAGGCAAAGAATGATTTATAGAGGGGAAGAGCAACGACTCTCAGTCTGGTTTTGAAGGGTGAAGGCAGCAGCTCCGTCTCTCCTTTTTCCAATGGCCTCAAAACACCATTATTTATAATGAAAAATCTAGGGCTTAATTTCTAGGTGGGATTTGAAATTCAAACGGCCATAAGAGACGTTCTGTTTTGATCAGTGACGACATAGATGACAGTGTGAGTTTTCACCATTTTTGGTGAGTCTCTTCTGTTAAAGTAAAGTAAAGAGAAGATGAAGTAGAGAAATAAAAAATCTAGGGCCTTGGTCAAGTGAAATCACGTGAAGAGAGAGAGAGTGAAGTAACAAATTCCAACCATTGGATTAAGAGTTTCAATGGCTAAGATTAAGTCTGGCATATTTATCAAAACGATGTAGTTTTGATGGGGTTCTAGAGTGTTCTATAGTTGGGCTAAAGTGGAGGATTTTGGACTGCTTGTTGGGCAGATTTGGGCCGACTTAGGCTTGGGCTAACTGATTGAGAAGACAATATTTGGGGTTTTAGCCTCCTATCTTCTTGAGTATTTCTTTGGGCTTCTAATTTTTTATAAAATATTCTAATAATCATATTATATAATACTACGTAATGTGAACATATAAAAATAGCCTTTACACTAATTGATATGTATAAAACTATAATGTTTTGGAACAAGTATTTATAAACCGTAGGATTAAAGAAACATTACTATTTAATTAAATAAAGGAAAACGATATGCTTTTCGCAAATGGCGATAAGAATGAAAATAAAAGTAACAACAACAACAACAACAACAACAACAACAACAACAATAATAATAATAATAATAATATTAATAATAATAGTAATAATATCTAATGTTAGTAATAATAATAGAAATAATAACAATAATAAAAATAATGATACTAATTAGGTCTATCTTGGGATAACAACTGTAAAATAATTATTCTTATATTATTAGTAATATTTTTTTTTTAGAAGCTTAAAGAAATAGTTTGGAAGAAAGGAGGGTCAAAATTGGATGTCAACATTATTAACCAACAAAATTAGCATGTAATCAAGAAGCTAAGCAGTCATGACAAATAAATTAACGCCAGAAAAGAAAAAAGAGCAGAAAATCGGGGAACTCACTGACTCGACTGCAAAACTCCGACTAACTCTCAAAGTTCAAATCCGGCCATCTCCGGTGGGAATTGAGTGCTATTGACACTTAATTTCTCTTGGGGGAAGCCAGGGGACCATGTGGTATCAATTTGGAGTGGTTTGGAGTAATTAGGGGTTTGGCTGGAAAACTTCAATTTAGTATTCGAAGGGTTCTAGTCAGATTCGAGGGACGGGGCTTTGGGGTTTTGATAGAGGAAGTCACGGCGATCTTATGGTGTTAATTTGGAGTGGTTTGGAGGACCTTGAGTCTTGGCCAGAAAAACTTCAATCGAATATTCGACGGGTTCCGGGTATGTTTGAGGGAAACTATTTGCAGATTTGGAGGGAGGGGGACAAGGGAATTTCAGGGTGTAGATTTGGGGTGATTTGGAGACGGGCCGCCGCCGTGGGCGATTTCCGGCGGCGGCGGTACAGGGCCTGGTCTGTGGATGCATGGAGACGACGATAGGAGGGGGGAGGTAGGGTTTTCGGACAATTCTATATCAATTAACCTAGGATGTTCCCATCCATTAGATCAACAATCAAGGGCTATGATCAATTCCAGGAAACGACGTCGTTTGGTTACAAAACAAACGGACTGGGTTAGGGACGGGGGTTTGGGCTGGACGGGGGGTGGGTTTTAATTGGTTTGGGCTGGGCAGAAATGAGTAAAGATGGCCCAATTTTAGTCTTCTTATTAAGACATCTCTTTTTTTTTAATTTATTTTCTTTTGTTTTCTCCTTTTTATTTCTTTTATTTATTTTTGTATTTCATTTTGTATTTTTCCTGATTTTACTAAAATGCAAAAAATTAAAATGAAACCTAATTTATTTCCAAAATTAAGCTAATTAATTCCTAAAATTGTTTAAAATCTATTTCGTGACAAATTCAACAATTAACAATTAAAAATGCAAAAGCGGACTATTTTTGTTATTTTTCTTATATTTTGTTTTAAAAACAACTAAACTACTAATTAATCCTAAAATTAAAACCTAGAAACAAATGTCAAGCGTATTTTTTATATTTTTCATATGAATAAAAATGCACAAATAAAATGCAAACAATTAACAGAAAATAACACAAAATTCACAAAAAATGGTAAAATAATGAAAGAAACCATTTGTTTGAATTTTTGGGAACAATTCACGTAGGGCAAAAATCACGTGCTCACAATTGCTATTCATGAAGCAAGTCGAGAGTGTGTGTGGTTGAGGTCTATAATACATCTTATTCGAGACAAATGTGGTTTGAAATGTGACAAACTACCCACAATTTTGTATGAAGATAATGCAGCATGCATAGCTCAATTGAAGGGAGGATTCATAAAAGGGGATAGGACAAAGCACATTTCACCAAAGTTATTTTTCACACATGATCTTCAAAAGAATGGTGATATCAATGTGCAACAGATTCGTTCAAGTGATAATATGGCCGATTTGTTCACAAAATCTCTACCAACGTCAACCTTCAAGAAGCTAGTGTCCAAGATCGGGATGCGAAGGCTCAAGGATGTGAATTGATGCTCTCATCAGGGGGAGTCAATGCGCGTTGCACTCTTTTTCCCTTACAAGGTTTTGTCCCACTGGGTTTTCCTTGCAAGGTTTTTAACGAGGCAACCAATAGGCGCATTTCTAAACATGTGTACTCTTTTTCCTTTTCTAGAATTTTTTTTTCCCATTGGATTTTCTTTTAGTTAAGGTTTTAACGAGGCACATTATCTGTTGAATAGACATTCAGGGGGAGTGTTATAAATAAAATTCTATTTATGGTGAATGTCCATATTTAGAGAGATTCTAGGGTTTATTACTTGGTGGCTAAATCAATCTCTCCCTATAAATAGAGGGTTCTATTCCATTGTAATTCATCCCAAATCAATAAGAATTCTCTCCCTCTACTTTTCTCTGCAATACTCTTCTTCTTCTTTTATTGTTTTATAACATTTATGTCTTTATATATAATATATTCTTATTAGGAAAAGATATCAAACACTGAATTATATTAGGAAAAACCTTTTTGATTTAGAACTTCTAAATATAAAAAAAGTTTTTTGATTATATATTATTAAAAAATAGAAAAGACGAAATAGATATAGATATAGATTTAATCCCATATTATAATCCTTATATTATAATATCACATAACTTGTACCCAAATAATTAGTGGAAGTAAAATTTAGAAAAGTTCAATTTTTTTTAGGACAAGCCTTTGATTTTACATATGTTATATTGTTGACCCTAAAAACTAAATTAGAAAAAACACAACCATTTTATTTTTTGTTAACCGACACTGAAATTCCAAAAGAAGACGGAGAAAGGGACACAAAAAGGAGAAGAAGAACCGCTAGAACCGGAGCCCCGACAATGGCGAGAAACGCAAGACAACTACCATTACCGGCGACCACCGGAACAACAACAACAACAACAATAACCCTAACCCTAAACAACTCATCAGAATCCTCCTCGTCCTCCTCATCGTCTGAACAGCAGCAGCAACATCCAACAGAAACACTAACTCTGAAACTGAAACCGAAGAAGAAGAGCGTTTCATGGAAGCAAGGTACTGTCGACAACGAGTTCCTCAACAAGAAGAGCTCTAAGATTTGCTGTATATTTCACAAGGAAAAGCCTTTTGATGAGGATGACAGCGATGACGATGAAAATGAAAACCAATCAAATAAGAAGGATCACCATTGTTGTAAATCGGAGGATCGCGGTGAAGCCAGTATCAGCAATTGCGAAGATAATTGATCGCCTTTGGATTTCCTGTACGTATAATTTGAAATTTTCAAATATTATCGAAATTTTGGTGTGAATGAATTCTAATTCAATGTTAAGGTTCTGTTATGCGTATATTTTCTCTTATCATGTTCTTTTTTAAATTGGCCTAAAAAAAATGGTGTAAAGGATAATTTCTCCATTTGGGCTGAGTTTAAATGTACTTTTCAGTATAAGGTTTTTATGGGGCGAAGAAGGTAGTTCTAGGGAGGCATGCAGGCTTGGAAAAGATAAGGCACAATGGAAGAAAAAGATCTATATAGGCGAGACATATTAGTAGAGGAGAGTTAGATGTTAGTACTTCTATTCTGGGGCTTATGCTTTCTGTAAGTGGTTTAACCTTTGAAAGATTTTATACATCTAAAAAATATACAGAACTTCTAGTACTTTCTATTTGTCTTTGCTTAATATTGGCTTGAGATGATCTAAAAGGAGTAACATTTATTTGTATTTGCATAATATTGGCATGAGATGATTTAAATGGAGTTACATGGTTAGTGAGGATTACCTCAACTTGTTTGGGATTAAGGCATAGTTGTTGTTTATATGGATACGTGATCTTATTTGATTATTTGAAATATTTAGTAGATGACTATCTTTTTGGGGAAAATTTTAATTCTCAGGAAAAGGAAAAATGGTGAGTAGGACATGTAAGTATAGAAAAATATTCTTATGAAATGAAGAAGAAAACAAAGTCCTTTCAGAATTACTTCTCCAATTGGGTTGATTGAATATGTTTTTTTTGCCAGTGTAGAAATTTGGGATTTTGAGGGATGTGATTGAGGAATTTATATTCTTGAGTTAATGATATTCTTAGTCAATTCAATTTGTATTGTTCCGTTTTTGAATAAGATTTTGGGCCGTGAAGCAGAAAACTTCCCCACTACATAACTGGGGCGCATTCTAAGGGCAAAAGGAAGAGAGGCTAATGTGGTAGAATGTAGTTGAGAAATTGAAAGTAGTTATTTATCTATGACTGAAGGACACCCTGTAAATAGAGTAGTAAATGAGATACTAACATACTGCTTATCCTTACATCCGATCCGTATAGTAATTGTAAATCAATTGGACAAACTAAGAAGAGCTTTCCTATGTGAATGAAATTCAGAAAGACATAGGATTCAGCTAGTGAAATGGTCTATTGTAGCTATGTGGAAAAGTGGGGCAGCTTAGGAGTGAAAATGTTGAAGTTACATAAAAAAAAACTACTCTTGAAGACTTCTGTGACAAGCTGTCAAGCAGACAACGTAAAGAAGCAATTCTATGCACATGAAAAAGCGTCCCACTTTGTATTTATTGAACATTGTTAAGAGAAAGAAATAGTAGAGTATAGATACACAATATCTTTAGGGGTTGTTTGGTTCAAAATTAGGATTTCCCACCTTTTATATGGGATATAATCCTGGGACTATGACCCGGATAATCAATTCCACCTTTTATATAGGATAAAAATAATACTGGTTTTAGCAAGACTACGATTATAATCTGGATAACAGTGTTATCAAAGGCGCGCTTAAAGCACTCTTAAGCCCTGAAGCGAGGCTCAAATTGTGTTGAGCGCTTTGCCTCGCTTAACGGGCACTTCAATGGTTTCATCAAGGCTTTAAGGCATACTTTTCATTGCTAACGAGCGTAATCCAGAATATGCGACACTAAACAATTGATATTTCACTTTATCGTAAATTTTCTTCAATTTCTTTCTCCATACATTTGGTATTCATGCTTGTAGATATTAGTCTTGGACTATATATACATATTTGTAGTTTTCTCTATTTGCGCCTTGCTTCATTCAAGCCCACGCTTTATTTGCGCTTTGCTCTTAAAGCCCCAACAGACCTTAGAGCTTTTTTTGGGCTTTTTGCCTTTGATAACAACAACAACAACAGCCTAGTGTGGTCCCACAAGTGGGGTCTGGGGAGGGTAGGATGTACGCAGCCTTACCCCTACCCTGGAAGGGCAGAGAGACTGTTTCCGATAGACCCTCGGCCTTTGATAGCACTGCTGGATAATCAATTCCACCTTCTATATAGGATAACATATACCAAGATTTAGGTATAAAAACAATACTGGTTTGAACTGATACCTCCTACCAAACATTGGATAAATAATCCCAAAATTTATATCGGGATAAAGCACTTAACCCCTTGAATCAAACAGCCCCTTAGAGTTTTGGAATTTTTTCTGCTCTTGGTGCAACTTAAAATATGACAGTGATGTAAATGTTTTTGTGGACTTTTTGGATTCCCAGTTGTAGGAAAACAAATATTTGCCAACATATTTAACCTTCTTGTGTGATCACTGAAGCATCTATTTATTAAAATGAGGGTGGGTAGTCCGCTTCCGATTCACTTACTCATATAATTGCACTAGAGAATGAAAGTTTTGCTGTTGGTTTATGAAGACTTTTCTGTTTGCATCCTTGAGATTAAAAGGTTCTGGAATCTGGATCTGCTTATTCGTCAAAAGTAGTTTAATAGTTTTGTTTGGTAATGCTTATCCTTCTGAAGGCTGGTGCATAGAATAGTTGATATTGGTCCAACAACCCTTGAATTGGGACCGTGTTCCCCTATATGGCCTTCCAGAATGTTGTTGGAGATTTCAAAACATTTCTTCTGTTATGAAATTAAATAGGGAAAAAAAAACGTTTCTTCTGTTATGGTACACTTTTGAACAAAGCATCACCAACTTGGTAGTTAGGACTTGAAGACGGTATTCGGTGGCTGCATGAGTCCACCGGCAAATATACTGTAACATCAAGTTACAAGAAGCTAGTTGGGAGGCAAATTGACAATAGGCTCTGAAAGTTATCGAAAACACTCCCTACAGTATCACCAAACCAAAAGAAAAAAAAGTAACACACCCACCCAGTATCCTCTTTTGGCTGGATTGCTTTAAATGGGGCTTGTCTTACACAAGAAAACTTGATAAAGCGAGGCTTTGTACAACATGTGCTGCTTGTGTGTGTAATGGAGGTGGAGACTTGTTTTCATGTGTTTCCTTTTATGGTGGCCTGGGAATTACTGGATTTGTTTCTGAACTTATTCAACATCATATGGGCTATTGCTGGAAAATTAAGACTTTTGTGTATCTGGCAGGGAACAAAAATCAAGAAGAACAGCAGAATGCATTGAAGTCAATTGCTCAAATACATCATTGGGTTCTTTGGGAATAGAAACAGAAGATGTTCTGAAGGAAAAGAGTTGCAGTATCGATCACCTCTGAGATATATTTTTTTCCTCTCTTATCTTAGTGGTGTGAAAATGCACTTGAAATTGACATAGATCACATGAGAATATATCAATTCCCTGCATAGTTGAGCAGGAATCCCTTTTGTACTTGCACATACTTTGGTGCTGTAACATATCAAAGGCATCTGGACATATCCTACACATACTTTGTGGGCAAACAAATTATGCCCCTTAACTTGCAAGTTATGTAGATAAAATCCCCTAAAAGCTCACGTGACATGCATATTTATTGCCAAAAAATAAAGACTTGATACATAAATTGATACCTCTACTTGTACAGTTTGTATTTCAAGACTAGTATTCACCTCTAGGATTAAGATTAGTCAAGAGTTGAAAACAAGGTTTATTTCAATAATAATTGAAGTGTTTCCCCGAGTCTAATCTATAGATATGTGACCCAAGTTATCATGCTTTTGAGTATCTAATAAAGGGAAACGAGTACACTCGAGGGGCTATGTGACACTATATGATAGTATCTTGTACCTGAACCAGTGACTCACTTTTTTTAAGTAATAGGGAATAGGATCGAAACGTGCTACTAAAAGTCTGTACCGAAACAAAGATGGATTGTCAAGAACATAGAAGAGGTAGGATAGGCAGTTGGTCATATCTAATATGAATCGTATATGGACATTAGCTGGAGTCGACGGCTCTCCAAGGGTTCCCTCATGTGAGATATATGGGGAAGAGGATTAAGGTTTAATACACAAATTAACAACTCCAACTCGCACAAGTTTGCAAAGTCGATCCTCTTATTTAGTTTCTGTGCGAATACGATATGCTTTGTGCACCAAACTATCCTTGTAAAATATACATGTTAGTCGTGTTTGACCGTTAGTCATATCGCGCTTATAATGAGGACCAATGATGATATATCTTCATTTTATCTGGCGTGGATCTAATGTGCTATTCACGCTAGGCCAAGAGAATGCCACAATCTAAGTACTCAACAATTAAACAAATAGAAATTCTCAAAATAATCAAGATTATAATAAATTATATAATCTTCACGTTTCAAATAAATAACTAAAAACATCCAAAGTAAACCTAGAAAAAAACAAAAAAATTCCAGATAATTGCTACTTAAGCACTAGGGGGTGGAATAATGCAACAACAATGCTTGCTGGCATCACATCCACAGCTTTGAAAACCAATAATTTTACAGAAAGAGACACAATCTGCTGCACTGTTGCATCCTTGAGGCACTTGCTGTTTTGTCCCAATCACACTCTGGTTTTCCACTTCCATACAATTTCCCATATGGCTAAAATTGCAAAAAACTAAGCTAAACAGAAAAACAAAAGTCAATATAGCCTTTGCCATCTCAAGAATTGACGAATTTTTAGTGTGTGTGTGTGTGTTTTCTATTCAGAAATATGAGAGGATCTAGTTAAGTTTTACATGTATTTATATATTTTAAAGCATAGTATACATAGAAAGTAATTAATAACTATGTTGATTTTATAGTATTATAAATAAAATAAAAGGAAAATATGGATACTGAGATTTTTTCCGTGGTTGTTTTACTTATGTAACTTTTTTGGGTACATGAATAATATTTACACTCACCTAATTAGGAGAACCAGTTCTTGATTATGCTATGCTAATATATGTATATTGTTGTAACTTCGTATAAGCGTTTTAAGTAACAAATTAAATATCTTAACAATATTCCTTTTTTTTTTGGGTTGCTCTATTGGTAACGCTTTTTTTACTTTTGGGAAAAAATCATATTAAAAGCACGAAGGCCCTTAGCTAAATGTCGTTCGCTTTTTTTATCCTTTAATATGTATCACATTGGACACAATCGTGATTTAATTATTATCCTATTTTTAGGACTTCAAAATTAATATATTATTTATTATATTCTTCCTTATTTGAACTATGTACCATAATAGATTTATTAAAAAAGAACACCAAAAAAATCAAAATAGGAAATTTTCTTGCACTTAGAACTCCTTTTAGGTTAAGGCGGCTTCATTCTTTTGTTATAGAATTACGACCAATTAAAATCATATATAGGATAAGGTAAAAGAATTTTACTCAAGCTAAATTGAGCCCCAACCCATTCCACCAATATAATTGAAAACAAAAATAAGAAGAGAATAGGTAATTGAAAAATAGCTACAGTTTAAAAATTTACCTATTTTTTATGTAAAGATAAATATTGAACAAAAACACTCTTATAAATCCGAAAATATTTCAGCATAATATGCTGGAGTTCGAATTTTTTTTACATTTTTGAGCTTCCAGCATAATATGCTGGAATTTTATAATGTGATGAAGTTCCATCATAATATACTGGAAGTTTATATGCAGGAGCTCCATAATCATGTATATTATGTTGGAACTTTCTGTGTGCTGGACTTCCAACATAATATGCTGGAAGTTTATATGCAGGAGCGCCATAATCCACCATATTATGCTGGAACTTTCGGTGTTTCAGTAAAATAATGGCTATTTTTCAATCACTTCGTAAATACTGGCTATTTTTCAGTTACTAGCCCGAAAACTGGCTAGCTCGTGCTATTTTTACAATATAATTGTATACCCTAGCAGCCTTCCCTAACTCTTTTCATGGCAGTAAGGTCCCTTGCACCTACATCTCTAATTATCACCAGTAGATCCATCTTTGATGTTGCTCTTATCAAAGTTTTTATCGCTTTCGTTTTGTCTTCTCTGGATATTAGTCAGGGGTCTTATTTTGTTAAGAACTAAAAAGTATGTAGAGTTTCAGCAGCAGGTCCGATATGGTACTATAAATTAAATACTTTACTTATTAGATTTTTAATATGTATGCATGATCTGATCGATTGAGCTCAAATCTATGGAACCTATTGCAAAAGTAGGTTAGCTCCGATTTAGTTCCTGACTTCCTATTACCTTTGAAGTCTCAGTAAGGTTGTTAAACCTAAGGGTGTCAATGGATCTTTAAAAATCGACTAATCGACCGAACCGTACCGTACTGTACCGAACCGAGAATTAGGATTCTTTTAATAACATCACATAATTTTATATAAACATATAACTGTACCGAATAATAGGGTAGATTTTTAGTTTTATAAGAATAAACCGAAAAATACCGAACCGTACCAAATAAATTTATTTATGAAAAATATATTTTATATACTAAGTTTAAAACTAACAAAGCATTAAGTGTTTACTTTTGGGTCTTGAAATTATGGAAATGGCTACAAGTGACCAAATAATTAATATCCAGTCCTAATTTCCATACCCATTCTACTACTCATATCAAAACTAAATTAGTTCCAACATCTTGAATAGCAAGCCACTTGGTATTCCAGTGATTTTCAGTAGCAGGCCACAAGGTATTGGATATTTTTCCTCTCATATGATTTAGATTTCTCTTGTCGGACGCGTTAACACACCATATTCAAGGGGAGGTGCCATGGTGCATACTATTCGCCGACATAGTTCTGACTGATAAGTCGCGAGCCGGTGTTAACGAGAGGATGGAGGTTTGGAGACAGGCTCTTGAGTATAAGAGTTTCAAATTGAGAAGGACGAAGACGAAATACCTGGAGTGTAAGTTCAGCGCTGAGCCGGGGGAAGTGGGCGTGGATGTGAGGCCTGAATCACATGTCATCCCAAGTAGAGGCAGCTTCAAGTACCTTGGGTCGGTGATCCAGGGGGGAGAGGGGATCGACGAGGATGTCACACACCGTATTGGGGTAGGATGGATGAAATGGAGGTTAGCATCTGGAGTCCTGTGTGACAAGATAGTGCCACCGATACTCAAAGGTAAGTTCTATAAAGCGGTGGTTAGACCGGCCATGATGTATGGGGCTGAGTGTTGGCCTGTTAAGAGCTCACACATCCAGAAGATGAAAGTAGCAGAAATGAGGATGTTGAGGTGGATATCCGGGCACACTAGGATGGATAAGATTAGGAACGATGATATTCGGGAGAAGGTGCACGTGGCTCCCATTGATGACAAGATGCGGGAAACGAGGCTCAGATGGTTCGGGCATGTTCAGAGGAGAAGACCATATGCTCCGGTAAGGAGGTGTGAGCGGCTGGTTGTGGAGGGCACGAGAAGAGGTAGAGGGTGACCTAAGAAGTATTGGGGAGAGGTGATCAGGCAGGATATGGCGAGGCTTCAGATTTCCGAGGACATGACACTTGATAGGGAGATGCGGAGGTCGAGTATTAGGGTTAAAGGTTAGGAGGTAACCGAGTCATGCCTTACTTCGTACCTTTGTGAGACTAGTCTGGTAGGATTTTTGTTTGAGATAGCTAGTGGCGATGTTGTGTCTTACTATTTCGGTTTTCAGTGCAGTCTATTTTACTAGCTATCGCTTTTGTTTTGCATCTTTCTTCTTGATTTCATGTTCCTATTTTTTCCTTATGATTTCCGTGGTGATACTAATATTGTCTCCTTTTGTCTTTTTGTTTTCTTGATCCGAGGGTCTTTCGGAAACAACCTCTCTACTCTTTTGGGGTAGGGGTAAGGTCTGCGTACACACTACCTTCCCCAGACCCCACTAGTGAGATTTTACTGGGTTGTTGTTATTGTTGTTGTTGTTGGATATTAATCTTCTAATAAGCTTTATTCTTGAGTTCCAACTTAACTAGTATCTTTCTATTTGTATGATTTATATTTCTCTTGTCTTTGCTTAATTATGTTTTACGCTACCATAGAATAGTGGGATGAATCTATATTTTGAACATCTTTCATGTTCTTTGATCATCACTTTTCAAATAGTAAAAATATTTAGAGAGTTTGCCAAAGTCATATACAAGTACACATTTATCGCATTCTAACTTCGACTAGCGACTCTTGCATGACGTTTTAAAAAAATACGAAAAATTAACCGAACTGTATTGATATCGAAGAGAAACCGAGATGATTGGGACGGTTTTAAAAAGTCAAATTTTGGTTATACAAAATGGAATAATCGAAAAATTGGTATGGTACAAATTATAAGATAACCGGCCGAACCGAACCATTGACACCCCTAGTTAAGTCTGTTTTTTGTCTAAGAGTTGAAATATCAGTTCAATTTAATTATGAAGTATGAGGCTTGAGTTTAAGGTCTTTTGGCCACATAAAAGTTTTAGTAAACTGATAACAATGGAGTTGTTATTTGCAGTTCTAATGCATCGGATCTTGATAAAACTCCGAACTTATTCATATATCTACGAATTATTCACGTTACCTTCGAAAAATATGTTGTCATAGGAAATCTATGCTAA